TGATAGCATTTTTAAGTTCTGCCAATTCACCTTTCACTTCTGCCCTTTGAGACTCTATGTTGTCATTAATTGATTTCTCCATTCTAGCCATTGTCTTCACAATTGCTAGCCTGAATTCCATCTCCGACATCTTGGTTATATCTGCATCCACTTGTAAATGTGCAGCATAAGTCATAATCTCTGAGTCTTTTCTATTTTGGGGGCTCCTCCTCCTAGTCATTCTGATGATGGATGTTTGAGGGAATGTATAGAGTCCAAATTATTGACCAGAACCCAAGCAAGATGCACCTGTTTTCTTGGGACCTTAGGGTTGCTGGCCTCTTGTTCTCCCAGCCTCTCTTCTGCGGGAGGGGCCTGCCACGCTGTTACTCAGGCAACCCTGTTTGGGCGGAGTTGCCCTGCCCCCCTGTGGTGGGGGATGGGCTCAGAGGGGAATCAGTTTTGGGGGCTTTTGTTCTCTGGCGGCTTTCCCTGGCAGCTTTCCGCGTCTCTTCCGCGAGTCAGAGCAGAAGAGACCGTTTTCAACCCTCTGCTTCAGAGCAGAGAGATCACAGTCTGCTCTTCAGTGAGCTCTCCAGGCCACACTGTCTCCGTTTCTGTCTGTGCTGCTATAAACTGCAGCGGCCTGGGTTGTGCACCCCTCCACAGCGCTCCCAGTCCTGCCTCCAGGTTGGAGCACGTCTCTGCCCTCTGTGCTTCTAAAACCACCAGCTGCTCCCGGTTCGCCCGCGCAGCCCGCTCTGGGTTTCCGCCCCAGGGGCTGCCCTAGAGTCCTTTCCCTGCTGCTACCAGTCTGCGAGTTTGTGCCCGTCCGCAGCGCGCGAGGCTGTCGCTCACCGGTGGTGTAGGCCAGGCACCCTCCCGCTGCCATTTATCCTCCGATATCTGCCCGCGGAATCACGGCTCCCCGCTTCGTACCTTGAAACCAACCGCCTGCGATATTCTGCTTGTAGAGATCCAGATCTTCTTACATCTCAGGCTGGTTTCGTGGGTGCTCAGAGTGGTCTGGTAGATATCCAGCTCAATTCCGGGGACCAGTTGAAATAGAGTCCCCTACTCCTCCGCCATCTTTCCCCCCTCCCAAAACAATGTATTTGTAACAGTTTATGCAGAATGCAGCTGTCCTCCATCAAGCCAGGCATTAAAGAGATTTGCAAAAATGTAAAGCAGTGTCTTTCTTTTCACTTGTTTCGAAAATAGTTATTTTCATAAAAATGTTATTTCTAGTAATAATAGGTTTATTTCAAAATAAAATTAATAAATATTTTTAAATTTCTCAGTTTTAATTTCTACCATGGTACACTTAGTAGCTATAACCCATACAAACAGAAGCTCTTTGGGATCCTCCTTTTAAGAGTGCAGAGAGGTCCTGAGACCAAAAACTTTGAGGACTACCACTGGAGAGAACTTGTAATAGGTCAGTCGTGGATCAGAGGGACTAAATAACTGCTGAATTCCTACTATGCATGAGGAATGAAGGCTACACATGAGAAAATGAAAGGCTCGTGCCACCAAGATGTTCAGTCTAGCTGGGCAGACATGTGACCCAGCAAAGCACAGGCCTGCACAGAGCCACACGTGCGATGGAAAAGGTGCGGGCTTTGGAGCAGAGCCTGTTTGAAGCTGGGTTCTGCCAGGTGTTCGCTGTGACCCCGGGCTAGTGACGGGGTCACTGAGCCTTGGGTTTTTCATCTACTGACGGAGGAAGAGCACACGTAACTCAGGACGCTGTTGTGAGGATTAAACAAAGCAACAAACACAAAGGTGGCGGCTGGGCACCGGGCTGCCACCAAACCTCCTCTTCCTCGGCCCACTCCCTCCCACGTGAGAGGCAAGGTTTAACTGGGGCGAGCTCTCTGCCCCCTGAAAGCACTGATCTCTGTTAACAGTTATGATTATGAAAGGCTTCGCATGGTTCCTACAAACCCTTTAAGGAGGGAGGAGTGACAATGGCTTCTGTTCGAAGGAGCAGTGGGAGACAACAGGACAATGAACACTGTGAAGGAAGGGGCCAGTGCAAACAAAGGCCAACCCTTTAGTCACAGAAGTAGAAGCTCAGAAGACGTTAGAGAAGTCCCTGAGGGATAACGTTACCAACAATAATGAGATTATAAAGGAACAATGATTGAGAATACAAACTGACCAACTAAAATGTAATTATGGATATAATTTCTCCAAATATAAGAAGGCCAAAAATATTTCTGGAAATAATCTTACCTGGTCTAGATCCAGAGAAGAATAGACAATTTTCCCTTTGTCATCTCCAGAGAACAATTTCATTCCATTGGGGCTCCAAGCCAGAGCTGTTATGCTATTTTTGTGAATACCGGTGACATCAAATCTCCGAAGCTGGGAATAACCGGTAAACATGAGCACAAGGAGAGAAAGGAACAGACACTGTGAGACAGGGCTCTGTGGGCACAGGGGTACACAGGCCCTCCTAATCGTGGAGGAGCTGGTTTTCCCAACCTTGTTTTCTACACAAAACCCTGTTCAAGGTTCCCTCTGCCTATTTCTCTTTAAAACTGACAGAGGGGAGCCAGAGAATATTAGGCACAATCTAAATTACCCAAACGTGCTTTCTGCCAAGTGTCCTACCAAGAACCAAAATGTTATCCGATTATTAAGAGCACAGGGTGAAGTTTTTCTAAGCATGTATTTTCCAGGCTGATGAGGATTTCTCATTTGAAGATCCACAAGGAATTTGCCAACAAGTTAAGAAATGCCAAAGTGACTAGTACTTACTTGTTTATTTCTCCCTGGCAGCGAGGATACAAGCTGAAAGACAGCAACCCTCCCGGAGGCGGTGCCCACAGCCACAAGGTCATCGAAGCAGCTCAGCAGCTTTACCACCGTGATGGGTTCAGTTTTCCCCTAAAAGAGCAAACGTTCAAGACAAGGCTAGCTTCTGGAATGTAAACATTACCCCTGGAGGCAGAAGCCGCATCAGGCTGCAGCCTCTACAAAGCCCTGGTTGAAAATGTATGCAACTCAGAAAAACAATTACATCTGTTAAAACCCTCCTTTTTTCTTCTAGGTCCTTCATCTTGAAATGACAAAATAAAAAACACATTTCTAATGAAGGAAATGCTCATCAATCAAGTCTCAATATTCTGAGCTCTTAACGAGAGCGTGCTAAGAAGCTTGGAGACAGGAGACTGGAGTAAGAAGAGCTATCCCAGACCCAAGCTCTGCTTCCTTCTCTTTCAACTTGGACAAGCCACTCAACCACTGTAGTCCATGGTCTGTCTGCCATGCAGGCTTGCCACAAGGATCAAGGAGACGATGCATCTGAAAGTGCTTTGTAAACGGATTTGTTCTTAGATCAGTAATCAAATAACACTAACTCAAGCTTCATACACTGGTTTATTAAAAAGCACATGTACAGGGGAACCTGGGTGGCTTAGTTGGTTGGGCGTCTGCCTTTGGCTCAGGTCATGATCTCTGGGATCAGCCCCGCGTCGGGCTCCCTGCTTGGTGAGGAGCCTGCTTCTCCCTCTCCCTGCCCCCTGCTCATTCTCTCTATTTCTCTCTCAAATAAATAAAATCTTAAAAAAAAAAGCACACATACAAGCATTGCACACAGATATTCAGGCTTCCCGCCCATTGAGTGAAACCATTCATTCAGAAAAATTAACACAACCATTTGACCTTGCTAAGACATATGGCAAGATCTCCAATAAACTACTTTGATCCCTACATTTTGATGCAGTAATTTAGATGGTAATCAATCTGTCAAGTGTGGAAGCATATCCTCCACATTCAGGATACTGAGTCAGCTGCTATGGTAATATAACCTAAAGTAGGTCGCAGTCCCGCCCTCCTAAAGCTGAGCTGTGGCAGTGAGCCACGCACATGAAAAGCCGCCTACAGCCAGTGGGGGTGGTGATGACTGTACTCACTTCCATCTGGTACTTCACAGCTTCCAGGGTATTCTCGTGGGCTATAAATGTATCTGGTGAGAGATTGTGATAGAGGTAAGGAATTTGGATCTTAAGCTACAGGAAGGCAAAGGGGAGCCCTGGAAGATTCCTGACTTTGCCAGTGTATCCATCAGAGGTGTTTCTGATAACCCCAATCAGGCACAGCACCGAAGGAGGAGGAAGTGTGACCAGCCGGGAGCCTTCTGCGGTAGTTCAGGCGAGAGGTACTATGTGCCTAGTCTGGAGAAGTGGCAAATGAATGAGCACAAAGCCAACGAAGAAAGAAGACTCTGTCAAGACCTGGTTGGCATGATGACAGCAACGAGGAAAAGAGCACAGCAACTCCCCTTTACTGAGCGTTCCCCTGCGCCAGACAACTTGTTAAGCACTTTACATGCATTATCTCCTTGATTCCTCAAACAACCGTGAGGGGACGTGCTGGGGTTTCCTCATTTTCCAAAGGTGAGTGGTTTGTCTAAGGACACACAGCTAGAGGAGTTGAGAAGATTCACACCCAAGTATGACTCTCTCCAGGGGCCCTGCCCTGCCTTGCTGCTCTACGTGCTCTCTGAGGGTGAATCCACAGGCCTGCAGATGGAAGGGTTGGAGGCTTGTGGAGAGGAAGGAGAATAAAAGACTTTATGATCTGCAGTGTGGGAAACACGAGTGATGGTTCCTTGAGCAGAATCCACTGGGGCCACTCTGAGGGAAGACGGTGACAGAACATGTTTTAGACACAGGTAGTCTTGATATGGCAGCAGGATGTTGAAGAGAACAGCACCCTGGGAATTTGTAATTATAAAAACTGCTACCACATCAGGAATCAAAATCCCTTACTGGAGATCTTGCCATGTTGTAAGACAAATTCAAAATAGCTGTGTAATTTTTCTGAATGAATGGCTTCAAAATAAAAATCATTACTCAGATGGGCAGAAAGCCTGAATATCTATGTGTGGTGCTTGTACACATGCTTTTTAATAAACCAACATTTTGAGTTAATGTTATTTAATATAATCATTAATAAATGTATGGTTCTTAAGAACCAAAACATCCCAAGAATCAGATTATCAATACTTAGCTTCTGATAGAAGCAAAACATGAGGCTTCAACTGCCTACAGTAGAAGTCTAGCTATTCTGAAAAACATTCCCCTCCAAACACCTAGAAATGCTGAGTAAGATGTATAAAATAACTTAAAAAAAATTTTATTTATTTACTTGAGAGAGAGAAAATGTGTGTGTGCTCACATGCACATGAGTGGGAGGAAGGGGGAAAGGGGGAGAGAGAATCCCAAGAAGACTCCATGCTGAGCGCGGAGCCCATGGGGCTCGATCCCGCAACCCCAAGATCATGACCTGAGCCAAAACCAAGAGTCAGATGCTTAACCAAGTGAGCCACCCAGAAGCCCCCATAAAACATCCTTTATGGTGCCTGGGTGGCTCAGTTGGTTAAGCGACCACCTTCGGCTCAGGTCATGAGCCTGGAGTCCCAGGATCGAGTCCCGCATCGGGCTCCCTGCTCAGTGGAGAGTCTGCTTCTCCTTCTGACCCTCCCCTCTCTCATGCTCTTTCTCTCTCAAATAAATAAAACCTTTAAAAAAATGCATAGCTGATCTCTAGAAAGTAAAAATCTACAGGGGCCAAACACAAAAAGAATATTGTCAAAATATTGTCAAACCCTGAAGCTACGGGCCACCCTAGGACTATCTGGCCAACACCAAGAGCCTCGGTTTCCTGAGCTGAGCAGGGCTAACGAGGATGAGGCTTCAGGCCAGATGAATGGGGGGCTGGAACTGATATCCCCTGCAAAAGCCCCTGAAGAACCCCTGAAAATCTAACCCTCAGTGAAAGTATAAACTAGGGAAAAATCAATTTGCTGGCAACTCTGTCTTCTCTCAGACACTGACTGGAGTGACTAAAAAAGAAAAATGTTCCTCAAGAATCTGCCATCCCAAGCCTGTCCTGTTTAGCATCAGAGTTTGAATTTATTTTCCTTTTCCACTCCAAAAGGGCTCCATGCCAGCAGTCGATGTGAAGTGCTTCGATGTTAGTAGCAGTCCAAGGGGCCTGGCAGAGTGAGTATAAACCCCATCTGTGGGACACAGTCTTGACCCAGGTCCCTCAGCATTCACACGTATTGGGACCAGCTGCAGAGCTCCTAATTAGAAACTACCATAGGGAAAAAGGCCCCATGAAGAAGAATCAACTAAAAAAAGCAATAATAGAATTGGACAACCCTTTGCCCCCACCCAAGTATTACATTTAGACTGAAGAGACCCAGAACATAAAAGAAATATGCTTAAAATTTTCAAGAAATATAAAAGGAAATTAAAACATAATAGTAAGCTACTATCAGAAATGAAAAAGAATCAAAAGAATTTAAAACCTTAGTGGTGATTAAATAGCAGATTAGTCACAGCTGAAAGAAAATTATTGAACTAGATAATAGATCTGTGCAAGAAAGAGGAAAAGATAAAACATATGAAAGAGCAGAGGCCTGGAGGACAGATACAAAGGTCCAAACTACATCTAATTGGGACGCCTGAAGAAAAGGGAATAAATAGGAGGCAACAACTTCAGAGATTAGGGCTAGAAGTTGCCTAGAACTGATGAAAGACCTGTGTCCTCAGGAGTACAAGCCTTAAAAAAGATTAATGGAAAGAAATACACTAAACACACTGTGTAGTGAAACAGTAAAACCTCAAAGACCATGAGATGGTATTAATATCAGACAAAAAGGCAAATGACCACATATGAATAATTATTAAAAAACAAACTTCTCAGGGCACCTGGCTGGCTCAGCATGCAACTCTTGATCTCAGGGTTTCGAGTTCGAGCCCTACATTGGGTGTAGAGATTGCTTAAAGATAAAATCTTTAACAAAAGAGAACAAAACTTCTCAACAGAAACAATGGAGTCCAGGAGACAATGGAAGATCATCTTCAAAATGCTACGACAGAAAAACTGTTAGCTTTGAATATATGCCTGTCTAAACAACTTAGAGACATAGAGACATTTAGGCAAACAAAAAAAATCAAGAGTACAAGACACTTACATGTATGATGAGAAAGCGCAGACATCATAAGAAAACTATAGACCAATATCCTTCATGAATACAGACACCAAATGACCATAATAAAATATTACTGAGATGAATACAGCAAGATTTTTAAAAAGGATACTACATCACAACAGAGTGCGGTTTACAGAAGTAATGCACAGCTGAATTAATAATCAAACTCAATACATATAATATGCCATATTAACAGAATAAAGAAGAAAATTATGTTATCTCAACAGATTCAGAAAAAGTATCTGACAAGCGGGGTGCCTGGGTGACTCAGTCATTAAGCGTATGCCTTCGGCTCAGGTCATGGTCCCAGCGTCCTGGGATCGAGCCCTGCACCTGGCTCCCTCCTCAGCGGGGAGCCTACTTCTCCCTCTCCCGCTCCCCCTGCTTGTGTTCCCTCTCTCGCTATGTCTCTCTCTGTCAAATAAATAAAATCTTCAAAAAAAAAAAGTACTTGACAAGCTTCAATGCTCATTCATGATAAAAACTCTCAGAAAACTATGAAGAGCAATAAGTAGAGGGGCGCCTGGGTTGCTCAGTTGGTTGGGCGACTGCCCTCGGCTCAGGTCATGATCCCAGGGTCC